ACAACATGTCCAAAGTACATGAGATGACTTGAAGTCTTGCCATCTTCGCTTCTAAGGAATATTCTGGCTGTACTTCTTCCAGGACAGATTTGTTCGTTTTTCTGCAGTCCATGGTATATTCAATATTCTTCACCAACAACATAATTTAAAGGCATCAATTCTTCTTCGGTCTTCCTTATTCATTGTTCACCTTTTGCATGCATATGACGCAACTGAAAATACCACAGCTTGGGTCAGGCGTACCTTAGTCCTCAAAGTGACATCTTTGCTTTTTAACATTTTAAAGAGGTTTTTTGCAGCAGACTTGCCCAATGCAATATGTCATCTGATTTCTTGACTACTGTTTCCATGGATGTTGATTGCAGATCCAAGTAAAATGAAATCCTTGACAACTTCAATCTTTTCTCCATTTATTATGATGTTGCTTACTGGTTCAGCTGCGAGGATTTCTGTTTTCTTTATACTGAGGTGTAATCCATACTGAAGACTGTGGTCTTTGATCTTCATCAAGTGCTTCAAATCCTCTGCGTTCTCAACAAGCAAGGTTGTGTCATCTCTATACCGCAGGTTGTTAATGAGTCTTCCTCCAATCCTAACATCATGTTCTTTTTCATATAGTACAGCTTCTCAGCTTATCTGCTCAGCCTACAGACTGAACAAGTATGGTGAAAGGATACAATCCTGATGCACACCTTTCCTGACTTTAAACCAGGCAGTATCCCCTTGTTCTGTTCAAATGACTGCTTCTTGGTCTATGTATAGGTGTTCATGCAGAAGCTGGTGGATTAAAGTACTAAAACTGAATAGTAAAATCTTAAGAATTAAGTAAAAGGGGCTATCATTTTAACATCAAGGCAGAAGATTTCTTAAGCAAGACACAAAAGAGGAAACCATAACGAGTGATAAATGACATATAAAAATTAAAATCTTCAAGACAAAACAAATACCCCAGTAAAAAAGGTGAAAAGGCAAGCCACAAATAGGGAGTAAATATATGTAATATATATAATTAACAAAGGATTGTCATTTGAAATATGTAACTCCTACGAATGAGATTTTTTTAAATTTAATATACTTTATTTTTAGAGAAGTTTTAGGTTTACAAAAAAATTACACAGCACAGAGCTCCCACATATGCCCTCTCCTCACTGCACATGGTGTCGTTGTTGTTAGGTGCTGTCTAGTCAGCCCCGACTCACTGCGACCCTATGCACAACAGAGGAAACACTGCCCAGTCCTGCGTCATCCTCACAATCATTGTTATGCTTGAGCCCACTATTGCAGCCACTGTGTCAATCCATCTCGTTGCCTATCTTCTTCTTTTTCTGACCCTCTACTTTACCAAGCATGATGTTCTTCTCCAGGGACTGGTCCCTCCTAATAACATGTCCAAAAATATGTGAGACAAAGTCTCACCATCCTCACTTCTAAGGAGCATTCTGGCTGTACTTCTTCCAAGACAGATCTGTTCATCCTTCTGGCAGTCCATGGGATATTCAATATTCTTCGCCAACACCACAATTCAAAGACATCATTCTTCTATGGTCTCCCTTATTCATTGTCCAGCTTTCGCATGCATACGAGGCAATTGAAAACACTATGGATAGGGTCAGGCACACCTTAGTCCTTAAAGTGACATCTTTGCTTTTTAACACTTTAAAGAGGTCTTCTGCAGCAAATTTACCCAGCGCAACGCGACATTACATTTCCTGACTGGTGCTTCCGTGGACGTTGACTGTGTATCCAAGTAAAATGAAATCATTGACGACTTCCATTTTTTCTCTGTTTATTATAATGTTGCTTATTGGTCCAGTTGTAAGGATTTTTGTTTTCTTCATGTTGAGGTGTAATCCATACTGAAGGCTGTGGTCTTTGATCTTCACAAGTAAGTGCTTCAAGTCCTCTTCACTTTCAGCAAGCAAGGCTGTGTCATCAGCATAACGCAGGTTGTTAATGAGTCTTCCTCCAATCCTGATGCCATTCTTCTTCATATAGTCCAGCTTCTCGAATTATTTGCTCAGCATATAGACTGAATAAGTATGGTGAAAGGATAAAACCCTGACACACACCTTTCCTGATTTTAAGCCACGCAGTATTGCTTTGTTCTGTTCGAATGACTATCTCTTAGTCTACGCACAGGTTCCTCATGAGTACAATTAAAGTGTTCTGGAATTCCCATTCTTCACAATGTTATCCATAATTTGTTATGATCCACACAGTCGAATGCCTTTGCATAGTCAATAAAACACAGGTACACATCTTTCTAGTATTCTATGCTTTCAGCCAAGATCCATTTGACATCAGCAATGATATCCCTCATTCCACGTCCTCTTCTGAATCCAGCTTGAATTTCTGAGAGTTTCTGTCAAAGTACTGCTGCAGCCACTTTTGAATGATCTCCAGTAAATTTTACTTGCGTGAAGTCCAGACAAATTGTGGAATGAAATCAAGGACATCATACATGAAGAAAGCAAGAAGTCATCTTAAAAAGACAGGAAAGAAAGGTCAAAATGGGTGCCAGAAGAGACTCTGAAACTTGCTCTTGAACATAGAGTAGCTAAAGCAAGCGGAAGAAATGAAGTAAAAGGGGTGAACGGAAGATTTCAAAGGGCAGCTAAAGAAGTCAAAGTAAAGTATTATGACGACATATGCAAAGACCTGGAGTCAGAAAACCAAAACGGAAGGACACGCTTGGCATTTCTCAAGCTGAAAGAACTGAAGAAAAAATTCAAGCCTCAAGTTGCAATACTGAAGGATTCTACAGGGAAAATATTAAATGACGCAGGAAGCATCAAAAGAAGATTTAAAGAATACACACAGTCACTATATGAAAAAGAACTGGTCGACGTTCAACCATTTCAGGAGGCAGTATATGATCAGGGACCAACGGTACTGAACGAAGAGATCCAAGCTACGCTGAAGGCACTGGCGAAAAACAAGGCTCCAGGAACTGACGGAATACCAACTGAGATATCTCAAACAAAAGGATGCAGTGCCAGAAGTGCTCGCTCGTCTATGTTAAAAATTTGGAAGACAGCTAACCAACTGCAAGAGATCCATATTTATGCCTATTCCCAAGAAAGGGGACCCAACCAAACACGGAAATTATCGCTGCACATAGTTTCTTAAAAGCAAAACCTAAATAATGGGCAAAGGAGATGAACAAGCAATTCTCAGAAAAACTGAGTTGCCAGCAAACAATTGAAAGGGAGTTCAGTCTCTCTAAAAAATCAGGGAAATGCAAATTACAACCTTAACGGGACGCCATTTTCCACCCACATCATTTGCAGAAATTTATACATCAGATAATGTTACTCTTGGGCGTGTATGTCGTGATATATATACGTGTTTATGTATATATATACACACACGAATATTATAAATATATTTTACTTTTGCTGTTACAGATAATACTATGAGTAGTCTTTTTACATGTCTCTTAACTGCACATTTATGAGAGCTTCTGCTATACAAATGTGCAACTATGAGACGTGCAAAAACACTATCCATCGCAGTATTATGTGTAATAGCAAAACCGAAGTAACTTAAATGTACATCAAAGCACAGATAATTAAACTGTGGGATTTCATATATACAGGTAGTCCCCGACTAAGGATGTACTGAAGTTACGACAAGCCGTGCTTATAACTTTTTTTTTTTGTGGGGGGGGTGTATCTTATCATTAGCAATATGTACTACATACAATATTGCAGCACATAATTTGCTAATGTCATCATACCTGTAAGTTTATAAGTAATGTTTCCAACCCTCAAAGACAAATAAAGATTGGATTTATAAAGATATAATAAAGGGCACTAATAATGAAAACTAAAAAAATAAATAAATAAAAATGAGGTACTCAACTTATACTGATTTATGATGGAGTTGTTGGAACAGAACCCTGTCCTAAGTTGGGGACTACTTATAATGGAATACTAACTATATCATGAAGAAAACTATGAATGAATAACAGCTGTACATGTAGCAACATGGCTGAATCTCAAAACCATAATGTTAAGAAACAAGCAAGTTGCTGAAAAATCCATACATACAACCAAACCAAAAAACCAAATCCATTGCCACTGATTCAATTCCAACTCATAGCAACCCTACAGGACAGAGCAGAACTGCCCCATAGGGTTTCCAAGGCTGTAAATTTTTACAAAAGCAGACTGCCACATCTTTCTCCCACGGAAGAGCTGGTGGGTATGAACTGCCAAAATCTACGTTAGCAACTGAGCACTTAACCATTGTGTCACCAAGGCTCCTTCATACAGTATAATACCATGTATAAAACCAAACCAAACTCATTGCCATCAAGTCGATTTCAACTCATAGCAACCCTATAGGATGGAGTAGAACTGCCCCATAGGGTTTCCAAGGAGTGGCCGGTGGATTCAAACTGCTGACCTTCTGGTTAATAGCCAAGCTCCTAACCACTGTGTCACCAGGGCTCCACTAATACCATGTATATAACGTATACAAAGTATATATAAAGTTTAAAACATATAAGACAAAATATACAGCCTATGGTTTTATGTGTGCAATAAAGCTATAAATAAAACAAGAAAATGGTAAACAAAATTAAGCATAGTTGTTACTCTTCAAAGAAGAGAAAGGAATGCTGTTGAGAGGAGTATGCTATCAATAAATGTACAAAGAGGATTCTAAATACAAGGGCAATCTTCTATTTGTTAAGATGGATGAAAAAATACATGGGTGGTTTTATTTTTTTTTTTAATACTTAGCATAAACATTACATATCCTTTTGTGTGTCTGAAATATTTTATAACTGTTTTAAATTCTGGGTACACTGATCAAAGCTGTCGGAAAAATGTATTTATAAGTGAACAAAAACTAGAAGGAAATAAGCAAAACATAAATTTGATATTAAGGAAATGGTATGCGAAGTAGTATTTTCCTCGTGTTAACATTTCTTTCAATATCTTTTATGATGAACATTATTTTTTAAAGCATTTATTAGAATGGCAAGCACTCACCTGATCAGTAAGCAAAAGCTGATTTCCTCCTTGATACAAAGCATCACAAAGCATGTCCACATCATTATTCAGTCTGGACATAAAGGAAGAACGTTCTTGAGCAGATACAGCCAACTGATCACGTAATAAAGAAATATCCTGGTTCAATTTCTCAGCTGCTTCCTCCAGGCTTCCATGGGTTCTAAACAGTTCTTTTTTCTTATTCTCTCCTTCTAAAAGTTGGTAAAGTCTAAAATGTAAAAATAAAAATTACTGAAAAATATTCCTAAATCAGTAGTTTTCAAAATTATAATCCACTGTATTGGGAAATACTTCGGAGTAGCTAAGTAACAACTTTCAAAAATTAATTTGTTACTCAATCAAGCAACTGAAACTACTCCAACTATACTATTCCAGTACAGAAATATATATTCTAACTACTGCATCTGAATCACCAGTTCCCTCATCTCTCAAGTTTTAGGACACAAAATTCTTCTTGCCTTTAACTGCCACAAATTTACTTAAAACAAAGTGTGTCACAGAGATACCTCATAAGAAAACACTTCTTCCACAGAATACAACTATCATGTAGTAGAAACAGTAATGAACTTGAAAAAGAAGACCTAGGTCTGAGTTCTGGTTCTGCTATGTGTGACCTAGTGCAAATCAATCTCTGAGATTTAATTTCCTCATCTTAATACCTACTTATCTTATAGGATTATGGTGGGATTAAAACAAAAAAGTGAAATGAAAATATAAAAATTATAAAATGTAAAAAAAGTAAACAATAAAGAGCTACATAAATAGTAACAATAAACGTTTGCTAAGCCAGACATCTTGTAAGTATCTGGTTAACAAATGAAAATCTCCATGAGCCACGAGGGCACTTTACAATCTCAACATTAACAGCAGAAAAATCCCTCATCCTATAGGGCAAATGGAAAAATGTGAGGCAGCACCTCTCACATGTATCTGACAATTTTTCAATCTTTTTCTTTTAACAATTTGCAATAGACTTCATGAAACTGGTCCAAGCCTGAAGCCACCAATCATGGTCCAGTGGGATGTGACTACACAATTCCAGGAGGCACCATTCATATAGTTCATAATACCAATCACGAAACAGGGACTACGCACGTGGACCTTGCCAGATGGAATACACAGGAATCAAATCAACTACATCTATGGAAACAGACGATGGAAAAGCTCAATTAACATCAGCGAGAACAAGGCCAGGGGCCAACTGTGGAACAGCCCATCAATTGCTCACACACAAAGTTCAAGCTGAAGAAAATTAGAACAAGTCCACAAGAGCCAAAGTACGACCTTAAGTATATTCCACTTGAATTCAGAAATCATCTCAAGAACAGATTTGATGCACTGAACACTAATGACGGAAGACCAGACAAGTTGTGGAATGACATCAAGGATATCATACATAAAGAAATCAAGAGGTCATTAAAAAGACAGAAAAGAAAAGAACAAAATGGATGTCAAAAGAGACTCTGGAACTTGCTATTGAACATAGAGTAGCTAAACGAAAGGAAGAAATGATGAAGTCAAAGAGTTGAACAGAAGATTTCAAAGTGTAGCTCGAGAAGATAAAGTAAAGTATAATGAGATGTGCAAAGACCTGGAGATAGAAAACTAAAAGAGAAGAACACACTCAGCATTTCCAAAACTGAAAGAACTGAAGAGAAAATTCAAGCCTCAAGCTGCAATATTCAAGGATTCTACAGACAAAATAGTAAACGATGCAGGAAGCATCAAAAGAAGATGAAAGGAATACACAGTCACTGTACCAAAAAGAACTGGTCGACGCTCAACCATTTCAGGAGGTAGCATATGATCAAGAATCGATGATAGTGAAGGAAGAGGTCCAAGCTGCACAGAAGGCACTGGCAAAAAACAAGGCTCCAGGAATTTACAGAATCAACTGACATGTTTCAATGGATGCGCCGCTGGAAGTGCTCACTCATCTATGCCAAGAAATCTAGAAGATGCCTACCTAGCAAACCAACTGGAAGAGATCCATATTTGTACCCATTTCAAAAAAAAGGAGATCCAACAAAACGTGGAAATTATCAAACAATATCATTAATATCACATACAAGGAAAATTTTGCTGAACATCATTCAAAAGCAGTTACAGCAGTGTATTGATAGGGAACTACCAGAAATTCAAGCGGGATTCAGAAGAGGACGTGGAACAAGGGATATCATTGCTGACGTCAGATGGATCTTGACCATGCAAAGGCATTCAACTGCGTGGATCATAACAAATTACGGATAACACTGCGAAGAATGGGAATTCCAGAACACTGAACTGTGCTCATGAGGAACCTGTGCATAGACCAAGAGACAGTCGTTCGAACAGAACAAGTGGATACTGCATGGCTTAAAGTCAGGAAAGGTGTGTGTCAGGGCTGTATCCTTTCATCACACTTATTCAATCTGTTGTTGAGCAAATAATCTGAGAAGCTGGACTATATGAAGAAGAACACAGCATCATGACTGGAGGAAGACTCATTTAACAACCTGAGATATGCAGATGACACAACCTTGCCTGCTAAAAGTGAAGAAGACTTGAAGTACTTACTGATGAAGATCAAAGACTACAGCCTTCAGTATGCATTATATCTCAACACAAAGAAAACAAAAATCCTCACAACTGGACCAATAAGTAACATCATGGTAAATGGAGAAAAGACTGAAGGTGTCAAGGATTTCATTTTACTTGGATATACAATCAATGCCCATGGAAGAAGCAGTTAAGAAATCAAACGACGTACTGCATTGAGCAAATCTGCTGCAGAAGACCTCCTTAACGGGTTGAAAAGCAAGGATGTCACCTTGAAGACTAAGGTATGCCTGACCCAATCCATGGTGTTTTCAATCACCTCATATGCCTGTGAAAGCTGAACAATGAAGAAGGAAGACCAAAGAAGAATTTACGCCTTTCAATTATGGTGTTTGCAAAGAATATTGAATACACCACGGACTGCCAGAAGAACAAACAAATCTGTCTTGGAAGAAGTACAACCAGAATGCTCATTAGAAGCAAGGATGGTAAGACTTCGTCTCACGTACTATGGACATGTTATCAGGAGGGACCAGTCCCTTGAGAAGACATCAGTGAGATGGACTGACACAGTGACTGCAACCAAGGGCTCAAACATAGCAAAAACTGAGAGGATGGCTCAGGACCGGGCAGTGTTTCATTCTGTTGTACACAGGGTCACTGTGAGTTGGAATCAACTTGACAGCACCTAACAACAAAGGTACCAATGGCACTCCCTGAAATTGTATAATAAGGCAGACCTATCCAAGCCCCTCATTTTATTAATAAGGAAATAAAAGAGTTAAATGATTCTACCCTAGGTTCTAGAGAAAAATCAGGAGTAGGATTCAGATTTTTGAGGCCTTAGACCACTTGACTACTTGTACTTTCATTCTGTTGTACATAGGGTCGCTATGAGTCAGAATGGACTAGATGGCACCTAACCACCACCTACTTTAGCCCTCCAATCTCAGTATCCCCGTGCCATCAATTGCTTAGATTTCCAGAAAAGGGCTGGGAGTTAGCATTCACTCTGATTCACCTGACTACACACAGAAATGAAGTACCTCTCTACTGCCACCTTGTCCAAATGCAGTCAATCTCCTGCTCAGCAATATCTACTATACCAAACTGTAGTCAAACTTCCCACTGCAGTTAAACTTCCTGCCGCAGATCTAAAATAAGCATCTCAGTAATGGTGCCTAAAGGGGACACAGAGTCACCATGAGTCGAAACCGACTCAAAGGTAACTGGTTTTTTTGTTTTTTTTTTAAGGGGAATAACACCTCATATACACCTACTCCTCCAACCAAGAGGTCTCAGTTCTGAAGTAGCTACTTCCAGATCAAACATGAATGGAAAAGGCAGCAAAGCTTAAAAAGAGGCATATAAAAGTGGAGAAAGAGAATATAAAGGGCAAAAAAGGAGTGCAAAGAATTTTTTAAACTTCCACAATTTTAGTTCAAACTTTCTCTAGCATTTTACAAAAAAACAGAAGAAAATATGAAGAGTACTTATGAAATGATAAAGTATACCTATGAGTAGAATAATCCTTGGTATCGATAGTATTCCTTGCATTTATCTGCTGAGATACTGATGGATCTGTTAGTATTTCTAATCGCCGCTGTAGCATCATACTACTTTGACTAAGTTCTTGAACCACATTTTCAAGTTGACGATATATGTCCCGATGCTTTCTCAATTCAATTTCATATGATAAATGTAGAAGTTCAAATGATGCCTTTTGTTTTATCAACTGATTTAAAACTAACTCTTGCCTTGCCGTATAATAGTCTTGTTTAGCAATCTGCAGATCAAAATCCCCCTTTACAACTGGCATATTCAATAACTGGGCATTCTCTTTTACAATAGCAGGCAAACTTTTGTTTTTCACATGGGTGATTTGTTCTTCAAGTTTCAGAATCTCACTGCTCAAGCTTGAAATTTTAAGGTCCAAATTTTCTTTGCCAACAGCCTAAACAAAGAAAAGCAATTACATTTCAAACTGCAGGTATAAACTTGAAATAGTTTTAAAATTATTTTCACTGTCCATTTTAGGTGATTAGATAGTACGCTCAATGAATAAAAACTAATATTAGTATCAGCCAAAATATTAGAAAGTGAGCTGTACTGTTAAGTATATTTTCAAGTCAAATTACAATTTAAACAGGAAAAATGTGGACTGAGTCAAGAACGAGGCCAGTGTGAACTACTAAATTTTAATGCTACTATTACCATATATGGAAACCCTGGTGGCTTAGTGGTTAAGAGCTACAGCTGCTTACCAAAAGGTCAGCACTTCGAATCCACCAGGCACTCCTTGGAAACCCTATGGGGGCAGTTCTACTCTGTCCTACAGGGTCACTATGAGTCAGAATCAACTCGATGGCAATGGGTTTGTTTTTTTTTTTTTAATTCCCATATATAAGGTCCTTGGGTGGTGCAAATGGTTTGCACTTGACTACCAACCTAAAGATTGGCGGTTCAGATCCTCCCAGCAGACAATGGAAGAAAGTCCTGGTAATCTGCTTCCATAAAAATTACAGGCAAGAAAACTCTATGGAGTTCTATTCTGTAACACATGGAGTCACCATGAGTCAGAGGCGACTTTTTGACAGTGGGTCTGGTTTTTTTGACTACCATACATATACAGTAATGGCTAACAAAATAGGGACCTTGTCATGCTTGTTTTACTTAATAAAAATCATATTAGCACACTACTCACTGAATGCAAATGTATGTTGGTTAAGGGTTTCTTAAAGTTAAAATAAAAATTAGCCCAGCAGTTATTCTTTTAGTCAGCTGATTTCAGTACTTCAACAGAATTACAGGACTTCTTATATTATTCCAAAGGTCATGTCAGTTACAGTAAGTAACTTGGTGCTGGTGTTCAGTTTCAGAAAAGTTATATTAGTACTCAACTATCTAAAAGTTACATAACCGAGAAAGCAAGCTTTCAAGAATGGAGATAGCTATCTGCAATACATCTGTACGTTCTCAGCAAGGAATCAGGGTTTCAGTCCACTGAACTTAGACCTCTGGCTTCATCAGCACAATGTTCTGGTCAGAGCAAACAAGCAGAATACCCACAAAAAGGCTCTTTACTCATGTATCATTAAAAAAGTAAATTTCAGTTCAATCTGCATCTTAACATAAATTTCAAATTCAGAGTATAAATTACTTTTGTTAAAATTAACTAGGTTGTCAGTGGTTCAGGTTATAATTACTATTTCTGTCCTCCATTAATTTTAGGATCTATTTGTATGAAACACGGACACATATCACAGCTAAGCACTGAACAAAGAGACAATAATAAAATACCCTCTTCTCAAATATACAGACTTCAACAGCAATATTATATACCCTCCATTCCTAACAACAATTACAGTATGAATCAGTCTCATTTCTTATGCTTACCTTGCTGGTTAGGCTATGAAGATTCTCCTCTGCCCACTTTATACTTGACTTCATGTTCAAATTACTTGCTTTCAAGTGAATTAACTGATGTTGAGCACAAATGTAAGCCAGCTGCAGCCTAGCCATCTCTAGTCGTCTCTCCTCAAGGATTTCTTGATTATCACAAATAGAGGGTGTCTGTATATCTAACAGTTGAAAATTTTCTTCATTTGAACTTTCAACTACCTCATGTATACCCTGAAAGAACTGTTTTTTGGTATATAAGGTTAATGCTGCTGTGCTTTGCTCTTCCTGGCTTAGGTATTTTTCCAAGGAAAATTGAGATAAAAACACCATTGGATTTGTCCCTTGTCCTAAATTAGAAGGTCTGTAGAACAGCATCAATTTTGCAACTTCATCTGTAAGAGCATGAAGCTCATTACTGATTTTAGTATTCACAACATTTAGAATTCCTTGACTCTGCTTCAGCTTTTTAGTGGCCTCTTCTCCTTTAGCATTTAATCTCAGAGATTTGTGGCTAATTACTGAAGCCATCAACTGGCATTTATTACGTCGTTGGATTTTTAGGTTCTTTAATTTCTGCAGAATTTGAACCTCCTCCTCCAATCTCTCTAGCTCTTTGTCATCCACGCTTTGGGTCTTCAAATCAGAAGTTTCACAGGTTTTAAGAACTTCATCTAATGCTGCTTCTTCTAGGATGGGCTTGCCTGATTTTTGAAGAATGCTAAAAGCTTGCAATTCTTTTTCAGACAATACATTCTGTTCATTCACATTCCCACAAAACCACTTAAAAAATGATTCATCTTCGGCAGTTTCAAACAACCAGTCAAAATCTTCTCCATTCAGCATACCAGCCTTGGGATAACCAATTTTTTTTAATGTTTCCACAAACTCATTTCCACAACTCATGGTTTAACTATCCAAATTTTTAATAACTGATACGGGTTTATGGTGTTGATTTTTTAAAAATAAATCCAAATACAAACAAAATTAATTTTATGTTAAGTCCATAGAGAAGGGAAAAATATATTTTTAGAATTTTTAATGCTTTTTCCTAGGGGGGAAAAAAACAAGTATTAGACAACAAATAAGGTGACTGTATTTTTAAAAGGAAGATGTAAATGATTGTCACATGGTATTTGGGAACCATCTAACTGAAATGTCTGATGATGACAAATTAGGGTATTACTTAGTACTCTACAACAGTAATGAAACCTAACGAAGCAAAAAAATCTTAATTTTTTCCAAAGATAAACTGCTCTAAAATACATTACGTTTTACAAAAAAGCTCTGTTTTTGGTAAACAAATCCAAGCCATCATGTGGCCAAGCAGCCTCTTTTCCCTGCCCTGCCAAAGTAAGAAAATAGAACTAAATATGGTAATTTCTTTCTTTCTTTTTTTCTTTTTTTTGAGGAAAAGAGAGTCAACTAAATATTTACCTCAATGACTCAATTAGCACCCGCCACGCACACAAAAATCGATCTCAAGATACAATCAACCTAGTACAGAGAAAATCAGGTTTAAGATTTAAACACTACCGTCAACGTGAGAGGAAACCCTGGTGGTGCAGTGGTTAAGAGCTACGGCTGCTAACCAAAAAGTTGGCAGTTCGTAATCCACCAGGCGCTTCTTGGAAACTCGATGGGGCAGTTCTACCCAGTCCTATTGGGTCGCTATGACTCGGGAGTCGACTCGACGGCAACACATTTCAACGTGAGCAGTGTCAAGGAAAGATGGAAGCAGTCATTAAGTAAAAGTTTCTCAAGCATTTGCTATTTTCAATAAACTCAGTACTGAATAATCCACGAAGACTTAACTAAGTCAACATTAGCGATGGTGACAAGCCCTGCAGATCGATGACGATGAAGACATGATACACTTAACACCCTTTAGATAAAATTTTTTGTGTGTGTGCAATTCACTTAAGCACGTATGCACATTAATAAAATACACATTCACACACACACGCACACCGAATCGGCGTTAAAAACAAACCGCACAAACCCCCGACGGTGACTGGCTCTGCCGGGCTCGCGACGCCGCCCGTCCGTCTGCCCCGGCCTCGCCTCATCGCCGGCGCAGGCCCAGCTCCCTCGCAGCGCTCCGGCGCTCCCCGCGCGGGGACTCCGCCTCGCGGCGTCCCTGGACCTGCGACACTCGTCGCCCACAGCCCCCTCCCCGGCTCCTTGCCCCTGAGGACAGCAACTGAGGCGCGCGGGCCGCTACTAGCGCACCTGAAAGGAGCCACCAGGGACGCAGGGAAAGACAGGCGACAGCAGGTGACGGCGGGGGATCGCCGCCACTCCTACCTCCCCACACCCCGCGATGTCCAGAGCTCCCGCGCTGCCGCCGCTCACCTCAGAAAGCTCCCGCGCGCGCCCTCACAGTATGCCACAGCCACCGCCCTCCGCGCCGAGCGCGCCTCGCACTGCCTCACGGGAGCACCGCGTGGGAACGCGCCTTCAGGAACCCCGCGCACGCGCAAGAGGGACGAGACAGAGTTGCAGAGTGATTCTCCGCGCAGGCGTAGTGTCAGAAGAGGCGGGGCCCGCAAGGGCGGGCTTAAGGGCGGGGCTGAGCAGCCGCTCCGCCCCAGGTCCCCCGTCCCCTTTCAAATGAAGATAGCGAGCTGATTGGGTCCCTCGCTGGCCCAGCATGCACCCTGGCGCAGGGTGGAGAGCGGTCCAGGCGCCGTTGTGGAGGTTAAGAGTGAGGTAGTAGGAAGGAGTACAAGAGATTGGTTCTGCTCCTGCACCCCGTATTTTCAGGCACCTCCTATGCATGCAAAAGCTGAATAATGAATAAGGAAGACTGAAGAATTAATGACTTTGAGTTATGGTGTTGGCACAAAAAAAAATTGAATATACCATGAACTGCCAGAAGAATGAACAAATCTGTCTTGGAAGAAGTAGAGCCAAAATGCTCCTCAGAAGCGAGGATGGTGAGACGTTATCAGGAGGGACCAATCCCTAGAGAAGGACATCATGGTTGGTAAAGTACAGGGTCAGCAAAAAAGAGGAAGACCCTTGATAAGATGGAAGGACACAATGGCTACAACGGTGGGCTCAAACATAGCTACGATCGTGAGGATGGCACAGGACCAGGCAGGGTTTCGTTCTGTTGTACAGAGGGTCACTATGGGTGGGAATGGACTGCAAGTAACAACCTCGCAGATGTGTGCCCTGTCCCCCAAGCTGGGCTCTCTGTGTTCTTCCAACGCCATCTGACAGCCTCCTACCCTCAATCCAATGTTCATTTCTATTTACAGTTCTGCCTTCCACAGAACCCCAAATCGTAGTCCTCTAGTGATACTTTTTTAGGGGAAAGAAAAAAAGTCACAGTTAGTAGTTAGGAGCAGGCCTGGAGCCACGGTCTGGCCCAAGCCTCAGCTGTATCACCCAACAGCTGTGTGACCTGTGCAAATCTCTGCGGTGACCTCTGTGTTTCTGTCTGTTAAATGGTGCTAATAATAGTGCTTCCTTCTACTTCTGGGAAATCAGCCATTGAAGACCCTGTGGAGCACAGCTGTCCTCTGACATACATGAGTCCCAATGGGCTAGAATGGACTACTGGTATTAGAATTGTCATGACAGTAAATGAGCTCATGTATCTAAAGCAGTCTGAGGAGTGCCTATGTCTCAGTTTGCTGGTGCTACCCTAACAGAAATATCACAAGTGGGTGGCTTTAAAGAACAGAAGTTTATTTTATTACAGTTATAGAGGCTAAAAGTGCAAATTAGGGTCTCAGCTGTGTCAATTCTTTCTGTGGGGCTCTCTCCTAGTTTCTGGTATCTGCTGGCAATCCTAAGTGCTTCTTTGCTTGTAGACAGTCCTCACATGGCATCTGTCTTCCCCCTGTGTGTGTCTGTGTCTGTTCTGCTCTTCGTAAGACACATATGGTGAAATGAGTTCCTTTGTGTGGCATTTTGCCTTGGTTCTTTAGAAAAACACTTTGAGAGATTTCTCCCCTAAGCCCTGAGGAGTTACCTTTGCCCTAGTTTACTACCATATAGGGTTGGGTACTTTTGTCCAGGCTGATTAACATTTCCTGGGCAAGCTAGAAACAACCTTATGTTTGATCATTTTTGTCTGGCCCTGGCTGCAGCCTGCCCTATGATTGGTATGCGCCTTGCAGGGATTGGTCAATGGACCATGCAAATGAAGTGACTATAGACTATGCAAATGAAGAGACTATAGCCTCCTATGGAAATAAAGTGTCTGTGGCCTACCAAGAGGGTATTGGTCAGTTTGTGGCCCTGGTGGGAGGGCCATGCCTTGAAATTGACAAAGATTGTAGATCTAAGCAGCCAACCCCACAGAGGTTTTTTAGACAGAAAGAACAAAACAAGCAGAAGAAAAGGCAAGAGAGAAGAAGAACAGAGAGAGGAGGCGAGGAACCTCCTAAAAGAGCTGTAACATGGGTCAAGGGCTAGAAGACTGAAGACAGTAAGAGGCCCAGAAGGAGTCTGGTGGCAGAGCCAGTGGCAACAGACAGCAGGGCCAAGAGAAGTCTGTCCTGAGGGGGCTGAGAGGGGGCCTGCACAGCTGGGAGGGGACATGCCCAACAGAGAGAAGGGCCTGCTTGCTTGCACAGCCAAGAGGAGCTGAGAGAGCTGTCCTGAGGGATGTGCTCTCTACTTTAGGGGAGCCTTCCAGACTGCCTACCTGCTTCCTGATCCTGAGTTGTACCCTGTTACTTCCTTAATAAACCACTTCACTGTAAGTATGGTCTGTGAGTTCTGTGTGACCATTGCAATGAATTATTGAACTCAGCAGAGAAGTAGAGAGTGCTGTGGGGGGGATGGCTGTCGTTAGAATTGGTAAAAAGGTTGGAGAGTGAAGGTGTGTCTGACCTCCACCTCATAGGAATCAGCCTCGGGCTGATGCTGATTCTCATTATCCCTCTTGAAGTTAGACAGGTTCTGATGCTACTACTACCATTTTACAACACCTCTTAGAAGTGACTGAAGTTGTCAAGGATTTCATTTTACTTTTATCCACAATCAACACCCATGGAAGCAGCTGTCAAGAAATCAAAAGATGCATCGCATTGGGCAAATCTGCTGCAAAAGACCTCTTTCAAGTGTTGAAAAGCAAGGAAGTCACCTTGAAGACTAAGGTGCGCCTGACCCAAGCCATGGTATTTTCAGTCTCCTCGTATGCATGCGAAAGCTCGGCGATGAATAAGGAACACCAAAGAAGAATTGATGCCTTCGAATTGTGGTGTTGGTAGAGAATATTGTGTATCCCACGGACTGCTAAAAGAATGAACAAATCTGTCTTGGAAGAAGTACAACCAGAATGCTCCTTAGAAGCAAGGATGGCAAGACTACTTCTCATGTACGTTGGACAGGTTTTCAGGAAGGATCAGTCCCTAGAGAAGGATATCATGCTTGGTAAAGTAGAGGGTCAGCAAAAAAGAGGAAGACCCTCAACGAGATGGATTGACACTGCGGCTGCCACAATTAGTTCCAGCGCAGCAACGATTGTGAGGATGGCACAGGACCGGGCACGGTTTCCTTCTCTTGTACATAGGGTTGCTATGAATCAGAACTGACTTGATGGCACCTAACAACAACTTAGAAGTGATTAGGTTTAGGACCCACCCTACTCTGGTGTGACCTCATTAACATAACAAAAGAAACCCCTATTTCCTAACAGGGTTGTTTTCATAAGTACCAAAAAACCAAAAACAAAACCCATTGCCATCGAGTCAATTCTGACTCATAGCAACCCTATAGGACAGAGTAGAACTGCCCCATAGGGTTTCGAAGGAGCAGCTGGTGGATTCAAACTGCCGACCTTTTGGTTAGCAGCCAAGCTCTTAACCACTGTGCCACCAGGGCTCCATTTACAGGTCCAGGGTCAGGATTTCAACATATATTTTGGTGGGACACAATTCAATCCGTAACAGACTCTTTTACTTATATTTTAAGGCCTGTTCTTGTTGTTGTTGTTGATAGTTGTCACTGAGTCACCTCTGACTCATAGTGACCTTATGTATAACAGAATGAAACATTGCCCGGTCCTGTGCCATCTTCATGATCATTTATGCTTCAGTCCATTGTTATGCCTATTGCATCCTAACAATAATATTGTCAAAAAGATAAAAATATAACTCATATAAATATATAGAGTGGACAGGAGTCAAAGATGTATTTTACTCATTGAACATGGAATGTTGTCTCCAAGGAGCATTCAAGAAATGCATGTATGTAGTCAATGAAAGAAAGAACACTGAAACAAGATTGCTAAATTCCATATAAAACCGGTCAATGCGCTACATCCAAGGAAGCCAGACTTTTGGGGTTATCTTTTGTACTGGGCAGAATTTACCTGCATCTATACCAGACAAAAATCATTTGCGACTTACTAATACACATGAAAAATCAAATGATGTATTGCATTGGGATAATCTGCTGCAAAAAAACCTCCTTAAGGTTCTGAAAAACAACGATGTCACTTTGATGATTAAGGGGTGCCTGACCCAAGCCATGGTCTTTTTAATAGCCTCATATGCAAGCAAAAGCTGGACGATGAGAAAAAAGAGAGAAGAAGAATTGTTCATTCGAATTGTGATGTTGGTGAATATTAAATATAACAGAACAAACAAATCAGTCTTAGAAGAAATACAACCAGAATGTTCCTGAGAAGTGAGGGTGGTGTAACTTCATCTTGCTTACTTTGGATACATCATCAGGACAGACCAATCACTAGAAAAGGACACCCTGTCTGGTAAAGTAGAGGGTCAGCGAAAACGAGGGAAACCTTCAAGGAGATGGATTGACAGAATCACCACAATGGGCTCAAACATATCAAAGGTCATGAAGATGGCGCAGGACTGGGCAACATTTCATTCTGTTATACAA